TTTTTTTTTTTTTTTTTTTTTTTTTTTTTTTTTTTTTTTTTTTTTTTTTTTTTTTTGCTTGGTCTGAACTGTCAATTAAGTGCTTGCAGCCTGCTCCATCTTTTCTTCTGCTGAAGGAGAAGCCCAACTGTTTGGGGTGAATGCACCACATTACTGCCTGTAAAGCACAGCTGAAACTGCTGCTCATGAGCATTCCAAACTGCCAACTTTATCTTTCTCAGCAGAAATTAATACAGTTACCTTCACATAAAGATGTTTTAAAATAGCAACAAGGCATTTCCCAGGTGCATCCTAAGATAATCACAACTACCTCCATTGCCTTATTGCTTAATTATGCTTGTCTACCATGGCAAAAGATATAACTTCCTGCTTGCTTATCGATCAGATGCAGGGAAATTGAAAGCCACATCACATACTTTAGAAAGGTCATGGATTTTTTCTTTCTCTACAAAGACATAAGAACTTCTGGCACTACTGTAAATTGTGCATAGTCAAATGAATTTTCACATCCAGACTTCTAATATCATCTCACTAGGACTGTAGAGACCGATGGTCAATTCTGGCATGGTGAATGTGATCGCATGAAAGAAAATGTGTGGAGCTGCACCTGTAGAAAGCATACGTGATCCTGAAGGCCTGGTCACACAAATGCAGACACAGGCAGGCAGCAAAGATTCACCAACACGTTTTGAACTCGGAATCTTCAATGGCAAGGAATATATGTGTCACAGTCACATTAACTATTCTGGATCATACCCTCCTTAGTAATGGCACAAAGCCTGGGTAGACATGTGTATGCTTATAAGACAATATAAATTAGTAGTTCTGTCTTCGAGTCAGGGACAGCAGTGGTTCAACCTCATGTAAGGGGTGATGTCACCCTTGTAGGTGAGAACTCCTAGAAACCATGGATTAACCAACTTCTGTGGTGCTGGATGCAGGCAGTGAAGTGGATAAGGACAAACAAGTGCAGAATATATCTCTAAATGCGTTTTTTCTAGAAGCCTGCAAAATGGTTCCATATTATAGATTTTAATTGCATTCACGTCAATTTGACCCACAGAGACACATAACTGTAATAATTGTTTATTGGACTGTAATATTGTATATTGGACTAATTAAAAAAAAATACTTCTCTTGCATGTTAGGCTAGAAGTGCTTTTACTTAGCAGCTACTTTTGCAGTATGCTTGGTATTGTGAAAACTCAATTAATGGTAGCTGACATTACATTTTCTAATATGGGGAAAATCAATGAAAAATCCCATGTAACTGAGTTTTCTTGAATGTTGCCACTGACATCTAGTCAATTAGAAATCATTTATTAAATCTAGAGTCTGTAATAGATATTTAATAGACTGCATGCCCATTAAAGGATGCTGATCTAGACAAAACAATACTACATTTCTTGTCTCAGTAACTGATAGTAAATATATCTGCTATGTTCAAATGGACTAAGGTGAAAACTAGGTCACTTGATAACAATAAAACTTACTGAGGCAATTTTCTACAAACCCATGGATTTCTATAAATATACTGGAGTAAATACATGGTGCTTGTAATAGAATATGAGAAAAATATAGCATCATTAGCCCACTTTTGATTACCTATTTCTAAATTGGAATGCAAAATTAGTGACAGAACAGCTAACTCACATTAATGCAGAGCTCAGTAAGTGACAGACTGCTTCTTCTTCAGGGACATAAGCAATCAGTTTGGTAACTTAAATATAATTTTGTGAGACAGATTAGATATGAATGCAAGTTTTAAATACTTATGCAACTATAGAGGTACCTCTTGGGGGTTCTCAGGTGAGAGGTTAAAGGAGAAATAGGATGAATATAAACACATGAATTAGCTACAGATTACAGTCTACATCTAAGTCTTTTAAATGTATTTTCATTCGTGATTTAGATGACAAAATGAATTGTGATTATCTATGAAATCTATGAATTCTACTAATTAACAGCACAGGGCATAAAAAGGCTTTAGGGACCTGAATCAAGACTCAAAATTACTGTAATAATCTTCAGATATGATCTTTAATCAGCAAGATAAAATTCAGTAAGATGTTTGTCAAGTTCTGCAGTTTGGAGGGAGAAATCACATTCATCAATACTAGATTAGGCATAAAAAAATACAAATGCAAGAAAAAAGATCCAAGAGTTAGAGTGGAAAAGAAACCAAATGAAAGTCAACAATGAAAGTCAAGGCAAATCACATTCTGACATGTTAATAGTGATGTTATAAGTAAGATGCTGAGGGTAATTTTTCCACTTGACTCAGTATTGGTGAAATGTCAGCTGTAAAATACTATTTGGTACATCTACACTAGCAAATAACTTGGCTTCTAGATCTGACCGTCTATCATTCCCACTATGTGTGTGATAGTTCATTCCTGGACTTTTTAATTTCAGAGTTCCCTTTGAGATAAAAATTGGAGTTCCAGAATAACATCTGGTGCAGGGACCACACTCT